ACTCTGGACCACCGTCACACTGCTGGCTTTCCTGTTTTTAACATTAAAAAGAGAGATTGTTGTTTAATCGTGCAAGATGGAAAGGATGCAAAAGGTGCAAGGGGTTACACCTTTTACGGCTTATCGTTTAGTCCTCCCCCACATGTGGCCATGGTAGAAAAAAAAAAAAAGAAGAGGGGTTTTTAGAGGTAAAGACTCTCCTCCTTAATATGCCATAAATAAGGCTGTGTGAGTAAGGAAATATGCAGGGTTGGTCTTTTTTTCTTTGAGGGACAGAACGGAGTTGCTGTGTTGGTATGAAGCTCTTTTTTCAACTTCAGCAAATTGTTCCTTTCACTATTGTACGCAGGACCGGAGCACCAGCACTTCTCCACCTGGAGGGATGCACCGCTAACAATTGACTTTGCTATTTTGTGAAAATCAAAACAACGGGCCATGACACATGCAAAATCCATGATTGTTCAATGTCTTTTATGGCCTGCGAAACGACCCGCGCAATACCATAGTGACTGAAGCGAGACACGAAGCACCTTTGAGCAGGCTTCTAAAGCATTCGGTTTTGACCTTTCCCTCAGCGGCGTGTCTAACCTGTGTCTCCTTGTACACGTCTGTCATTTCCATTTGACCTTTGAATTCCATTTTAGTCCTTGGTGCTATTTATGCTGCAGTTAAACAGAACAGCTTTGGAACCCAAAGGACAAGTTTCATGTTTAGTCTATCTTGGTTAATCCATCTTCTGCAGAGTCTATGCAGCACTTTGTTAAATGTATTCATAATTATATTTCAAGCATGTTATAAGTGCCTCAATGGAAGCTTTAGATGGATACAGTGAGGTAAATCACTCTTCAAAGTAATTTAAAGTGTAATCTATGGGGTCTTATCTTCATATATTTGTATATTAATGAATCCCCAGTTTTACGTGAGCAATTCAGGAACATGGTTATGTTGCTAAAAATAGCTATACAACAGAGGATACACATTATTTCCATGTTAAGAATTGGACAGCGAAACTTGGGTAAGTAGGTTAGGGCAAAGTTAAACCGGAGGCAACCTCCAATTAATTACAGAATATGGTTTTCACTTAAATTTCTTTACTTTCAATATACATTGAGGGACCAACATATCTCTAAAATATATTTGATCACAACCAATAACTAAAGTCTAGTGTTTTTCTAGTAGTAGTAGTTGGACATATTGGGCAATTACGCGGGATCCTTGTAAAACATGGTTGCATTCTCACAAAAATCTTCAAAAGTTGTTGTTTTTATTGCAGGCTGACCTAAGTCGCTTAATAGAATCACTCCCAGTGACCTCAAATAATAAATGTGTAAGTTCCTTTGAATAAATAAATTCTGTGACACATATTGCGTTTGGGAAGTACCAGCTAATGAATCTTGAAAGTCTTTCACTACCACTATGATGGCTGACCGTGTGCTGCATTGTCATTTCCTTTTGGATTGGTTGTCTTCTTCGGCTGGTTTTAAAAATGAAATGAATGCTTTATGCAGACTGATGCTCATGTCTGTTTGGATTATTTCTTTACTTTATACATCTGTAAAGACCTGAGGAGTGATAACTTTACATATTTATGCAGAGAGGGGGAGGAGGGGTTCCTCCCTGTGCGCTTCATGAATCTCAAATGATTTTAAAATAAAAAGATTGTCACTTTTCTCTTGAATAAAGTTTGTTTAAAGTTTTTAGAGCTCAAAACATGACCAAACAAACAGCAAAGGCCATTTGGATTAGACTGAAATGGGTTCTGTCCCATATTTATGCATGAGGAGTTTAGATATGACCAAGCACGTTCTCCATTGAACGGTGGATGTTTATCCTCGTTGCTTTCAGAATACCGTAACAATTTTATTTCATGCCACCCAATGACGACAGAGATTTATAGACACGTGCTATACATTTATGGAAGAGGAGAGTTGTTGCCAAAGGCCTATCGAATCCAGACAGCTGAGATACAACGAGGGGGAATGTTCCTTGACCTAGTCTTGATGCAAGTTTTTCTAAACATTTTGAGGATAATCACATCTTTGGGCCACAAACATGGACCGCTGCACAAAGCCTTTTGTATTCACCCAAACCAACAGCTATGCAGAAAGCGATTTACTCTCCAGCCTTGGATAAGGAAGAGGTTAGGCCACAAACAGGATACCCTATAGCCACAGGTCAATCCCTCAGAGGCATGTGTGTGTGTCCGTGTCTATGGGTCTGCTCGGGAGGGGTGGGGGGGAGGGGGGGGGGGGATTTGGGCCGAGCAAGAATTTCTAGGCAACTATTGGAGCAAATTCAAATGCAATAGCGCTGGATAGGTTGAGAACATAATATACATCTGATAGTCAGAGGAGTACACAGACAGGTTGGAAATGTCTCCTCTGGGTATGTTTCTACACAAAATCATAGTCTCAGGATATTTTTTGGTTTATTTATTTAGAGATCACAAACAAGTAACGAAACAAGCCCATTGAGCAATGTGTGGAAATATTATGGTCAATCTCAAAAATATTAACCTTAGGTTAGTGCGTTATGTCATATCAGGAAAAGTCAGCAGCATATTTCCTTTTTTGGTTTTGCAGCACTGGGTCGTGGTGGCGGAGGTAGAGCGGGTGCGCTGGGAACCACAAGGTTGGTGGTTTGAGTCACGGCTACCCCATGTCCCATGTTGAAGTGTCCCTGAGCAAGACACCTAACCCTTAAGTTCTATAAAACCGTCAGCTAAACGACATGTAATGTAATTGATATGTTTAAAAACTACATATGTGAGGGTTTGTCCCCAAAAGCAAATCCCCAGGCTGCATTTTTTTTTTTTTTTTTTTTAAAGGAGTGAGATGCAGTGGTTACGCCGGGAGGCTTTTGCTTCTCTCCTGGGACCTCCAGGTTGTTCTCAGAACTCTTTGTCTGGCCCTTTTTGAGTCAATGCCCAGTTTGCACCTTTAGCATCTTAGTAGGAAAACAATTTTTTCCTTTAGCTGTTACTTCGTCCAAACAAGGTCTCTTTTTGTCTTTGGTTTCTCGGTGTGGGCACACTTTTGTTATACGTTAAGTTGAACCAGCACGATCCCGTGCTCCAGGATATTTTTTCGATGTTTCTCAATATTGACCTCGAGAGTTATTTCGTTCACCGCTCAAGTAAAAAAAAAAAATGAAGTCCTTAAGCTTAAGGAACTGTGTCGTGCTCTTTTACTTGTAATGTAATCGTCTGTAGAAAGGCAGGTGTTTGTACATATCGACATATTATAGTGTGCAGCAAGTGACGTCGCACGCGCAGGTGATTCACTTAGAATTGCTTCTGACCCAAGGATGAATAAAAGATTTTTGTTTCAGAAGTAAACTTTCTTCTTACAGTACAGTGAGTTTTGACTTCCAACACGTTGAAGTGAGGTCTGCCTCCCAGCTAGTGAGGGCTGAGCCATGCACAAAAGCGGCTTTCAATTGGAAGAGTATTAAACAATTATGGCAAATTAACTATCCGAGCAAATAGCCAGAGATGCTCATGATTTGGTGTCCTTCATAAGACGAGAGGCAATTCCAATGTATCATGTTTTTTTACACGGCTTCAGTGAAGGAGGAGCGAGAAGATTGAGTACAGAGCAAAGGTTAATCCGCTGTGTTTCCCCACATAAAAAAAAGGAGGACCACCTCTGCCTGCTCGGCAAACAATCTACTGGGTGTAATCCGCACGCATAGACAAATGACTCCAGCAGAAGTCATTTGATGGTCAAAGCCTGTGAGTAATGTGTGACATTGTACAACTGCCCTGTGATTTGTAACATTCATTGTTAGATACATTGATCGACAACCTGAGATAGAGAACATGTGAAAGACACCATCAGTAGTATTTTATAAGCAGAGATGCGCCCCCCCGATGAGGAAAACACAACCAGTTTCCACCAGTTGCGGCATATTGGGCATACTGTATTTGGGACATCCCAAGTGACTTACTGACAATAAATAACATTAAAATTGTGTACATTAATAATGGACTTCATTGAAAATGGAGTGTTTACTTATGAAAAAACTATTTTATTCATCCTTGGGTCAGGAATAGATAACAAGCATGACTTTATACTAACAGCTCAACAAATCCCATAATTTAGTGCAAAAATGTTATAGCCGTATCACTTCCTGTTGTAGACGATATAATATGTTCAGGATTTAAGAATACATCTTTTAAATCTATGACCTCAATATTTCTTTAACCCAAAACCTCAATCTTAAAACGGGAGGCAGTGCATCGAGCAGAAAACCAAGCACATGGCATTAGCTTTCAAAAAGTTAGATATGGGAGCCAATTTCCCACTGACACGTTTGCAACATAAACTCGTTTTTTTCTGTCGACCTGATGAATGTAAACCCCCAAAAAACACTGCTTCAACCTCTCATGGGCCAAATACGGGGATGATTCTCTCTGGTTTTGCACTACTCTGAAAAGTGACCGCGCTTACGTCACAGCTTGTCATTTCACTCAGGTTTTATTTGTATTATCGATAAACGCAGTTTCAAAATCCATTGCAAACAATCAACACCTTGGGTCCTCTAGTGGCCTCAATCTACTTGCAAAAACAAAACAAAAAAAAGGTAAAGATTTTGAGTTGACACAATCAACTAAAAGTCAAAAACTTCCCACAAGCATTTCCATGTCTTCTCCCAACTGAAATGTGTATTTGGCTGCGTTACCTTCTGGAATGGTGACCACCATGAAGGTACCCACCCCCACCCCCCCATTCACAATTAAGCTCAATTACACACGAAAATCTTTCAAATCTTCACACCATGTGTTAAGCAGCATGGCAAGATACCCGAGGAAAAATGAAAAAAATATATAAAGAAAAGGATAAGAAGAAAAATTGTCGAATCCCCAGATTCAGGAGCCACTCTCAATCCGACACTGTGCTGACCGACCAGCGGTGTCCGGCCGCCTGCTGCGTGGATCCGCGCCGGTTCTGGTGGGAGGGGGGAGAAGTTTCCCCAAAGACAGGCTGCTTGAGTCAGAGAGAGAGGGGGGGAGAGAGAGAGAGAGAGAGAGAGAGGGACAGAGAGAGACGATGCCTTCCTCTTTCAGACGCGTCTCACAAGCCGCTCAGTGGATTTGCTGATTTTCCAAATTAATTTCCGTCAAGTTGTTCAACGGGACTGCGGAGATTTAGAAGCAGAGGATGCTCCCACAGGTGATTCGGATCTTGTATGTCTGGTTTTTCTGCTGTTTCCAAGGAGGCTTTATCAGGTGAGGCGCTGTAATATTATATTCTCATGCATGTGCGAGTTATTTTTCTCTGCAACTTTTCAACCATTACAAAGCGGCGCATTTACTTTCTGTCCACATTATCTGCACCTTTTTAGACACTTTTGCGTTGATGCGTTTTCAGCTCTCTGGAGAATTAGACCGTCCGTCTTGTGTTTTTGTTGCTGAAATGAAACGGAGATGAATCAATCTTTAACTGATCAATCAATAAAAAAGGTAGTTCTGCCATTTGGCGAGATGTAATTGAATGTGAACACCAATGTTATAAAGCGGTGGTGTATTTGCTTTAACGAAATAAACATTTAACGCGTCGGGTAAACTGGAAACTCGTCACTAATAATAAAAAAAAAAGGAAATGATCGACCATCAGGTTTTGTTATTTTGATTTACAGGGAATGTAAAGATAGAAATAAATCCGCCCCGGTCGCAAACTACCTGTGGAATTCCAGCTCGTGCTGCGGAACTGATGGCTTTTTAAGATTAAAGGGTGACGTTTGATGACAAATCATTCATGTAATATCCAACAACACGTGGGAAACATCCCATCCAACCTGAAACATGCATGAGAAGAATTCACATTTCCGATGTTTTTAGACACAGAAACTAAAGTATTGCATAGCGGAGTCTTTTAATTATTGTACGAAAAGAGGAGCGCGCTCCGCTCGGTGTGCGTAGAAACACGTCCCTCTCTCCCTTTCTCTTCTTTGTTCTACCTAATTCCATGTCTCTCTCTCTCTCTCTCTCTCTCTCTCTCTCTCTCTCTCTCTCTCTCTCTCTCTCCTCCCTCCTCCCTCACATCATCCACCAGCAACGACGCTCCCTCCTCTCTCTTCCTTCCTTTCCTCCTCCCCCTCGGTATCTTTCTCAGTGGCAAAAACTTTTATTTGCAGTGAACACTTTCCTTATTTCATGCCCTGCCGACCTCAGGTGGGAACGAAAGGGAATTAAGATCTGCATAATCCCAGGAGCGGAACAGAGTCTCCGTGAACCCAGAGGCGAGGAGAGCAGCTCTTAGCCTGGAGAGCAGTCAACTGACAGCACCTCCTCTCAGAGATGACATGCCCGTCCGCTTGCAACAGAGGAAAGGGAAGGGATGGAGGCGGAGGGGGGGCAGGTGTAGAAAACAGGCTGCATCTGATGGAGCTGCGTGTGGCGAGGCGGAGGGGATGGAGCAAACTGGGTTGGGGAGAAAACGGGAAGGAGAAATGAGAGGATGATTCATTTAGCTGGAGGCATGGAGAGGAGAAAAGTGGAGGACTGGGCCGTGAGATGGAGAGAAAGGAATGCAAAAAAATAAGATGTGGGGGGTCAGAGACAGGAAGCATGGCATTTGAAGAAAAAAAAGATTGTCATGATAAAGAGTGAACAAACTGGATCATGTGATCCGTTTCATTGGTTTACATTGCGGATGTCGGACTGAGAGGTATGAAAAAGCGATCAGAACTAGCTTTTTCATACCTTGATACTTCATAAACAACAGTAGAAGTAAAAGTGCGGAGATGTCGAATGTTCATTCCACTGTTGGAGCTACTGTGGATGTTTTGAGTTTCTAGAGAAATTGTCCTCCAGGGCAGCAGGGGGCCTCAACATCGGTAATGGCGGCAAAACTCACTATTACGCAATGTGACAATGGCGCTTGTACTTACTTTTCTACATTTGAGAGGTTGGCTGCGACGAATGCTTATTTGGCTTTTTATATAAAAACACCTTTTTATAAAAACTATTTCTTACTGTTCATATTGCACAACTATTTCTTACTGTACATATCTATTTATTCACTTATTACACTTTACATATGCACATACTCTGGATGTTAAACTGCATTTCGTTGCCTCAGTACTTGTACCCTGTGCAATGACAATAAAATTGAATCTAATCTGATCTAATCTAATCTAAACCACTCGGTTGTCATCTGATTCGTCTTTGTTCATTGGGAGAAACTGATTAAAGAGAAGGGCAAAGAATGGCATCAAGGACGGCGACATTGACATCCTTGCTGTCCTTGCCTCCAGTCAGTGAGAGGCCATGAGTCAGAACTACAAGGCTTATCGTTTCATGCAGTTTAGACCCACGTGACCATAGTTATTGGCTGTCCACTTGACTTTGGGTTCGAGGCCCGCTGAGTTTTCTTCTTAACTGTAACAAATGAATTCAGTAGAAGTAGATAATGGCTCTACTCAGTCGCCCCATCCCAAAAAAGTGGGTCAGTTGCGTTATTGTTGTATATGTTGTATTGTTGTATTCTAATGCTTTTGTGTAATAACTGAAAAATCTCTTTAAATTGTCTTTAAACATCAAATTCTCTCTGGTTCGCACTCACGTCCTAAAATCTGTGTGCATGGCTGACAACTCATTGTTTGCATATTCAAATCCTAGTTTTCTGTAAAACGTGGTGAACAGAGTCCTGTTTTAGCAGGAAGCCGAACGACTTGTGATGCTTCAGGGTTTTTTTTAAAGAAAGTTTGTAAACTTCAAGTGATGAGCCTCATTAAGGGGTCTGTTCATACCAGATATTTTTTGGCCCCAGAAGGAGCTTTTTTTTTTCACGGCTAAAAATTGCAAAAGTGCACGCAGAGAAACAAGTTTTTGCACTGAAGAGAAATGGATGATCTCCGTCCTGGAACAGTTCGCTTTTTCCTAAAACTCCACATTTCAGGGCTCATTATATAAAGGTGCATGCGGTGGGTGTACTTGACACTAATGCTATAGTATACCAAAAAACGTGGCGCTCTTGTGTGGCTTTGCTTGAGCCCCTCTCACAACTGGGGAAAGCTTAAACTGGTAAAAAAAAAAAGTTTACCAATTAGCCAATGAGAGAATTCTGTATTCCACCATTACATTTGCGGTGCCACTTTAAGGTTTGACTGGCCTTAAAAAATGATCAAGGACGTAAGCTGCTTGAGCCAATAAAACTAGTATCGAACACATATGAAGAAGTTAAACACATTATAATAATAATAATAATACATTTAATTTGTAATGCACTTTATATTTAAGCAAATCCCAAAGTTCTACATGATAAAACAGGTAAGTGCGAACAATAAAAACATTATGTATTCAAACTAAGCTTGCAGCTGAAAATAAGGCTAAAATATTTTCACACACTCCATAAGAATAGATCTGCAAGACATTAATGCAACAGAATATTTATATGTAGTTGTAATACTTATGCGGTCTGGATGAAACAGTGATATTATAAATGTTAATTTATACATTCACACAGTCTATTAGTCATTACATGCTCTCTTTTTTGCATCCTTTTGGCCTTGATCGTGAGTTTAAAAATGTCTCTGTAGTTGGGTAATATTAATATTTGGCGGCGCTTTTTTATGAGTTGATCTTTTTTCTCGAACATTGCCAGCGGTAAGGAGCAGGTAAGGTGTTTCTATTTTCAGTGACCACGGCTTAAGTAAGAAGTGAACATCCGAGAACGCAGCGCTAACTCTGAAGCTTCCTCGCTAACTACAAATCCTGCATTGTGCTTCAGGCCCCATGTGAGGAAGGGACATTTGCATGAGTTCTAAAACCTCACACGTTTCCTTTTGAGGCTTCTAAGAAACACCTGCTAACAGCAGCAGAATAATGCGCACAGGAAACACTCTAAATTGTGTTTGCTTCTTTGCAAACTTCAAAAGGTCTGTTTTTGGATAAGGCCACAATCTTTTTGCCATTAGCTTTAATTAAATTCTGATGGTATGGAAGTATCCGCGAAAGGGAGGTAATATCTGGAGGCTAGTAAACAGTAGAGGGATGAGGAAAGCAATGATTGTTCAACCTTAATTTCAAATATTTCACAATCAACTAAGAGTTGAAAATGTGGCCTGTCCCTTACAAGACTTTGCATATGAAACTTGGGTGAGTAAACTCAATTTCCACCTTTTAATTTGATATGTGGCCATTTTGGTTTTAGTCGACTCAGTCAGGTTTTGCTTTTTTCACACTGAATACTTATTTCCAAGGGACCTCTGAAAACATCTCTGGATGTTGTGGGATTCTCAGTCGATTAGTTGACAAGTGCTTCGACTTCGCATGCGGGAACTAATCTTATTTTTAGTAAAGTATCAACTGAATGGAACTGTTTTCACCTTGAGGTGGACTGTCACAAACGCTTTTAGGGCTCTCTTATACTAAGTCCCTGCATACTTGGCCGACACGGAGCGGAGCAGCGAGGAGCGCTGACAAAAAGGAAGCGTGATTGGAGGACAGATGGGATGTTTATGCGAGTTAATGACTAAGAAATGAGACACGAGCCCCAGTCGAACAGACGCGCTCTCCACTCCCAACGCCACCGTGAACAGTTGTGGTATACTTAGCAATGAAATATGAACACCGGGGAGACGAAGAAGATTTTTCAAAAGATAATCAGCTTGTATTGTTCAGCTGGTAAGCATCCAATTCCATTGACGATATGTTGAAAAGGTAATTGTAGCGTGTCAAAGAAGGGTCTCCAAACACGCAATTATTTATTATGCTTGTTCTCAAAGGAATATTTTGATTTGTTTATTCTACAACTGGATAATATTCCACAGTAAAATTGATTGAAACGCTTGCTTTAAGCAAAACGAACTAACGTCATTGCTTCCTTTTTTTCCCACGAGCAACTTTCGGTAGTTTTCGGTAGCAATGTTTGACACGGGTCAGCTCAGCGGACATTGGGTTTATGTTTTGATGTAATGGTGGAGGGGACTAGTGATGGCACCTCCACCGTCAGTCTGACTGACACCTTGGGTTGAGAGATGTGACTGATGGTTTGCTGCCTGTTTTGATCCAACCGCATATTGCCTTTCCTTGTTTGTGTAATTAGAAATGTGCATAGCAACGTCTTTTGACACATCCGAAAACCGTTATTTTCACTGAGTTATGGATGCTGGAGTATTGCCGTTTTTTTGGTGTATGTCCTCTATTTTCTATTAGGAGTCACTCCATTAGTGTAAAAGCCATACAGACCATATAGACATGTTTTTCATGGAAGAGAGGTGGGT